ACATGGCATGGGAAAGAGGGGTTTGCTGTGTCATTGAACCAGCAGCATTGATGGCTTCATGTCCTGCTGCCTCTGCATGGTCCCAGTCTGCATGCAAGGCAGGCCCCCTCCCAAAATTAGAGGCTGTTAAGAAGGGCACATCAATTTGGCAAATTACAGGGTAATTTGTGCCATCATGATAGATGGTCTCTTATAAGGATGGCTCTTTATTATTTCTTCACATAAATTTGAACTGAGGGAAGACTTTGTAGTCCCAGGGGAGGAAAGGGGGGAACTGGTTTTGTTGGTTGAGATTTTTTTTTTTCTTTTTTTAATGGAAGTACTTAAAATGACTGCATGGAAATGCCAAACTGTGGATAAAATGTGATAGCACTTCTTGAAGTGGCCTTACTCTGATTTTCTTTCTTGATTCATGGGTTAAACAGTTTGTCTCTTGAAAAATCCAAATAACGGCACCAATTTCATCTGTTTTGACTGTGTGAGTGTTTGTAGTGGGTGCTGCAGGTACATCTCAGGAGCATCTCAGGTGTGTGTATTCAGAGTTCTGTTCCAAAGGGGGTAAATCAGTGCAATAAATGAAAGGCTGGGAAAAGTTTCCAAACATGTCTGTTTTCACCTTTATGCAGATGAGCAAAATGATTTTTGTTTTCCTCTCCTTTTAATTTCTACTTTGCAGCTGGAGAAGTCACTTTTTTTCAGCTTTGGCTTCTGAGGAGGAGTCCATTTTGGGATTCCTGGTGTTTAAATGTGTGGTAGCACCAGATTCAGAAACAGGACAGATCTGACTGTTGCAGTAACAGAAGATGCTCTGTCCCTTGTATCACTAGTAGATACCCTGTGAACACAGATTGCAACATGCAGTCCAAGCAAAGGAGACATTTGCAGTTGATTTTTCCAGTTCCCCTGGTTCCCAGTGTGCACCAGGGAGGAGCTGTACTGCAGCAGCTGCTCATGTCTTTATCTCAAGGCACGTGTAATCAAGGTGGGCATCCCTACCCAGAAAGGACCTTTCTGTCTTCACTTTCTCTTCTGATGCTGGAAGTGGGCATTCCCTTCCACCTCACAGCCTCCCTCCAGCCTGTGTAATCCTCATCCCTTTTTCCAAGCAGGGCTGTGGGAACAGGGCTGGTTATTGCCTTTTTCCTGCATTGTCTGGCAGTGCACAATGACTGCTCATAGGCTGCCTTGCTGTGTGATTACAGAGCACCCAGCAGAAAGAGGGTTCAGTTGAGGCATCTGCAGTACAGCTCGTTGGTAATCAGGAAAAGATAGCTCCTTTCCAAGTGTTTTCCAGAGGCACTTCTAGGAAGGTGCATTTTTGGGCTGGTGGATTTTCAGAGAATTTTGTTGTATCCCTGAATTAAGTGTGTAGTGCTGCACTTGCTGCAGCATGAGAGGGCCCATGAAGTTGCATATAGCTCCCCCATCTCTTCCCTGGTTTCCTTTTGTTAGTGAACCTCTGAAGCCAGAGCATGAATGCTGATCCCACTCAATCAGGAGCTGCTCTTAACTCCATTTCAAGAGGGAAGACACTCACTTCCTAGGCTTAGCCAGTAAAACAAGTGTGGGCTGCTGCAAATGGGCACAGCACTGTAGAAGTTAGTGGTGTTTCTCACAACTGGAACTGTGTCCTTGCATCTTCTTTTTGCAGTCTCCCCTCTAATCTTGTTGCTGGAGCCAGGATATATCAGTATGTGCATGTGTATAAACACTTTTTTTTTTTCATAGTGAAAGCTGCTTTATGCCGTTGAGGTTCAATGTGCAGTCATATCATACATTTTCTAGGCTAAATCTCAAATTTGGAATGACATCCAAGTAGCTGCGTGCTGCTGTTGGAAGTAAATAGGCTCTGAATTTCCAGTAAAGGTAAAACTAGTGGAAGGGCCACCACAGCAAAGGATGTTGTTGGCATGGGGAGAAGTGCCACATCACAGTGAAGGAGGAAGAGGCTCACAAAGGTGTGTGTGTGATGGATTCCCTGCAGTCCCTTCACATGCCATGTCAGGCACAGCCCAGCTATCTCAGGTGTAAGCACCCAAAAAAATTGCATTTGCAGGGTTACTGTCAGCACGGCACAGGGAGGAGGGAGGTTGTGTGGAGCTGTCCGTGGTGTTTCGTGTGAAGGTCTCACTGCGACCTGTGGTGTTTCTGCCATCTCTGTTGTGGTCATGGCTTTTCTCCCTGAGTCCTGGGAGCCATGCTGGGCTGTCTTTGCCCTGGCAGCCAGGAGGAGTCCTTGCTGGCAGGGTGACAAGCACAGCCAGCCATCTCAGACTTCCTCGCTGCTCCTGTGGTCTGTGGTGTAGCTTCTCCTTACCGGCAGGGTTATGTGCAATGTTTGGTGTTCAGCTCAGAGCACACAGCATCCCAGGGTGTGATGCCTTGGGGCACTTGGGGAGCCTTAGGACTAGCTGTTTGGTGTCACATTGCTCCTTAAGTCAGGTGAATTAGCCAGCTCTGAGACAAAATGTCCAGGAATTATAGTAAAAAATAATAACAGTTGCCTCTTCCTCAGCCAAGAAGACAATGCCCATCCATTGCTTTTGAGTAATTTAGAAAAAAAAAAAAAAAAAAAGTTGCATTTATTTTCAATAATTCAGGTAGAACTGGTAAGTAGTTTTACAATGTTGATTTATGAACTTTTGCAAAATGCAGAAGCTGTTCATGATTGCAAATTTCATTATTTTTTGACTCAAAAAAATTCAGTACTGTAATGTGTTATATAGGTTTTTTTCCTCTCCAGTCCTGCCATTTGAAGTAATAAGGACAATTTGCCCAAGAGGAGACAGTTAAGTGAGGTGCTGGGAATATAATCCTGGTGTTCTGATTTACAGACCCAGGTCTGCTCCTTTCAGAGGGAATGCCTTTTTTTTTTTTTTTTTTAATTTAAATTTTATAAAAATGAGTGCTGCTCCTCCATGAGTAGTGATCAGTGCTTTATCATGCAATTAGCAGACAGTCTCTAACAGGCTCATTTGTCTCATTTACCATTCTGTGGAAACTTGACCGTGCCAGTATCTTGGTCCCACCAGCATCGAGCAGTGTACTGCTTCCAGTTGGACTTGACAATGGTGGTGATTGGTGACTATGCACCATGTATGAAGCTTTCAACAGTGGTTTGATCTTTCAGAATGAACCTGGCTATGGTAGCAGCCATAATGGATGATGCTGTGAATTTTTGAAATAAATATCTCTATGTTTTGAGAGGCTGAGCAATGGCAGTCTCCAGCCACTGGGATCTGAGGTTCCTACTAGCAAATGCTTGTACTCTGGGCAGCTTTGCTGCCTCTTCCTAGCCCAATTCACACTCTTCCTCCAGAAGCAGCACTCTGTCATATGGGTGTTTGGTGTACCACAGGAGGAGCAGTGCAGCTTGCATTTACTTTTATGTGTAAACCTGTCAGAAAACATTTCTATTCTTACTGGCCCAGATTCCTTCTGACTGTGACTAACCATTGCTGAACCACAGAAGATGGCATTGCTGCTTTTAAATGCTATGGGACCATCTTCTCAAAGGTATATCCCTTTGCTTTTTTTTTTCATTAGGTATGAATTTGGGGCCAAGTTACATCCCAGAGTCTATTTAAGGAAGACAAAATGCCAGAAATCCTGCTTTGGGCTTGTGAAGTCAGTTTGGAAGAACTGGGCTCAAAGAACATTATTGTATTCTGTTTTGCCTCTTGTTTCAAGTCCTCCTAATATCTGCAAACCAGAGAGGCTTTGCAGTGGTGTCTCTGGTGTGCCTGTGATATGCTGAGACACCGCTCCTGAGGACAGCTGCAGGCAGCACACCCCTCTCCTGTTCCACTTGTTTTGGACTCTCAGATGTCAGGCTGCCCTGGCTAATGCCTCCCAGCAGCTCCAAGAGATGCTTTGGGAAGTGTGCTGTGCCACACTGGCCCCTTCTGTGCGGGGAGACAGGAGATGCAGTGACAGTAGCTTCTCCATGTGTCACAACTGGAGCTGGCAATGCAGGTTGCTCTCAGGTTTGCTGGCACCTGGTACCCGTGCTTTGCTTGTATCAAGTCCCTTCATGTCTGGGCATCCTGGTAGGTAGGGAGAATGGAGTAGAAAGGAGCACTCAGAAGAGAAATGGGTTTTGACTCTCTTGTTTGTCCTGAAACTATTCACTGATAGCGAGAATAAATTAAAAAAAAAAAAAAAAAAAAAAAAAAAGAAAAAAAAAAAAAGAAAAAAAAAATGTACTGCAAAGCTTTTTCTCCTGCTGCCCAGTTTCTGTGTCAGCTCGAGTCCTCTGTGAGCTGTGCTGAGCTTGTTGAACTGTGCTTAGGGATTGCACCTGGGACTGCCTGAGGATCTTCAAGAGAACCTGCTGCCACCTCCTCCATACTGTCTCCTCAGCCTCTCAGCCTCCCTTCCCAAGCTTCACTATAAACAGTCACTACGATAACACAAATTGTACAAGCACTAGTAAGTGCCATTGTAGCATGCACAGGCACTGCATGAATCTATCACAGAGGAGACTTCTCGCTCCCAGAACCCACAGTCCAGCTTCATCTGGTAGGGGCACTGGCCCATAGCTCTGAGGAAAGGTCAATGTTTGCATTTTTATTTTTCTTCTCTTATTTCAACACCTCTATTTCTATCTTCCCTGTCACTGTGCATGGATGCACACACACCTCTAGTATTGCTTTCATTCAAATTTTATTTATCCACACAAGATTTTAGTGTTGAATTTTCCTGAAACTCTCTAGGAAGCCTGTTGATATGCAGGAATACCCATTTTATTGTCCTGCTGGGAGATAAATAGCTTGAAAGTTGTGTAGGGTGTGTACAAATGACAAAGGTTTGCAGGTTCTCTAGAAATGAACACAATAGTCTTATGCTTTACAGAAGCCCAGTTTGCTTCTACTGAAAACACTACATTTTTGCCTCTGATTTTAATCAGGACAGGACCAAGGGCTGTGGGCAACATGGGCAGAATTGCTTTTCTCCTCCAGACTTGCAAGCTCTAAGGTGCCTTGTTCTTCCTGGCTGCAGAGCGCTGCGATGACTGGGGGGTGGACACCATGAAGCAGATCCAGATTTATGATGGAGAACCTGCCAAGATCAAATGCCCACTTTTCGAGACCTTCTTGAAGTACAACTACAGCACAGCCCATTCTGCTGGCCTAACCCTGATCTGGTACAGGATTGGGCAGGATCGGGATCTGGAGGAGCCCATTAATTTCCGTCTCCCGGACAATCACATCAGCAAGGAGAAGGACACCCTTTGGTTCTGGCCAGCTCTTCTCAATGACACTGGGAATTATACGTGCATGCTCAGGTAGGTCACGTGGTGCAGCTTCTGGATGTCTTCAGCATAATCAAAGGACTTTTA